GCACCACCCATTTAACAAATAAAATTTGCTATTTTATTATACATGCATATAAGAATTTTTGCTGCTCCAAAGACAAGGTGAGAATATTGGGGCAAAATCTGGCTGCTCCTGCCCCACAGAGGAAGAAGGGCTGGGGGTGAGACAGCTCCTACAGACATCCCAAGAGCAGGATCCCTCCTTCTGCTGGGAAGGGAAGGGCACAGACGAGGATTAAATCTACTGGGAAGAGCCAATTCTCACAAAAGCGGCCACCCAAACTCCTTTATTCCTCCTTTGACAGTAGCAACAGCCACCCAGGGAAAGATGGGCTTCCAAAGCTCAACTGCTGCCAGCTCCTCCTCACTGCAAGACTCCACGAGGCCAAATTAGAGACACAGAAAAATTTAGATCAGAAGGTCTCTGCAGAAGCATATAGACCAATCTTCTGCTCAGGTGGGGATAACTTCAGAGTGAGCTGCTCATGCAAGTCTCCAAGGACGGAGATGCCAGGGCCCCCCTGGGCAGAAGTGCTTTCCTTTACACTGAGACAGAATTTGCTGCAAATCACAACTGTTCCTCTTGCTTTGTCACTGCGTGCCTCTGAGAATCCAAGTTTGGCTCCATCCTCTCTAGGACCTTCTTTTAGGTGACAGGAGGCTGTCATTTAATCAGAGAATGGTTTGGGCTGCACGGGACCTTAAAGACCATCCAGTTGCACGGGCAGGGACACCTCCCACTGTCCCAGGTTGCTCAAAGCCTCATCCAGCCTGGCCTTGAACCCCTCCAGGGATGGGGCATCCACAGCTTCTCTGGGCAACCTGGGCCACTGCCTCACCACCCTCCTGAACTTTCTCTTCTCCAGGCTAAGCTGCCCCAACCCTCTCACCCCTCTCCTGGGTGGCTGGCCCCCTGCCTTCCCAGTGTCTCTCCACTGGGCTCTCTCTAGGTTGGGAATATCCCTTTTCTCCAAGGGGGCTCAAAACCGGATTCGGGGTGTGGGCTGCAGCCTCACAACTGCCGGGTGGAAGGGGATAACCATCTCACCCGACGTGCTGGCTGTGCTCTTGGTAACACCGCCTTGTGCACGGCTAGCCTTCCTCACTGCTGGGGCACACTCCTCGCTCGTGTGAAGCTGTCATCCCCCATGACTTCCAGCACCCTGATGCTCTCCAGACATTTGGTCCCCAACCTGCACAGACAATGGAGTGACTCCTACCCAGGGAGGAACGCAGGGTGTTGCATTTGCCTTTCCTGAACCTCAGGATGTTCCTCTCAGACCTGCCTTTCCACGTATCCACCACTTACCCCTTCAGTTTTTGCCACTTGAAAATAAAGTTTTTGCCATCTGAAAAACAGAGAGCATCCTCTTCTGGTGTCTAGGTCCAAAAATTCTAAATAGTATCAGCCCCGCTATCAACCCCAAAAAACAATGTTTACCCAGCTGCCAGTTAGACTTCAGCCCACCGACCACTGCTCTCTGTGCTCCTGCCAGACCACCCAATTTTCCACCCACTTTGCAGATCACCCACCTTCTTTGAACCTCCTCAGTCTGGCTTCAATGGGAATTTGAGAGCCTAGAAATCATTATGGCAGAGTCTCCTGGCGTGTAACCACAAATTACTTCCATGAAATGGCTGATAATTCCCCTGAACGGGGAGCTAAACACAACAAGGCAGGCAGGCAAATGAAAACACAATGAAGCTTTCCAGAAGAATGTCCTTCAGCTCTGGATTAAGAGGATTATACCACTTAGTATACCATTTTTATAACCCCTTGGGCCCAAGTTTTCTGCAGATAAATTGAGAATTGAAATTGCCTAGAGTAAAGCACAAACTACACAGCAGTTCATTTTTATATGCTGCTTTCTGTGTCTGTGCAAAGTAGCTTCAGAATAACTTGAAATCTTGAAAGCAAGACCACACAGCAAAACAACCATGTGTCACGGTCACGCTGCAACATGACTAATTTTATTAAAATATATGTTGGAGGACTGCTATCATACAGTGTTGCTGTGGAGCATATTTAACAAACCCTTACCTTAGGTCATCTACATCCAGTTTAATTGTCTGGTATTTATGTGCATCAAAGGAATGCTACAAAAGACACTGCTAACGCTTTCCACCGAAAAATTCACATTTTCCATCAAAAAATATGACTAGAATTGATGGGACCGGGGAAACAAAACAGCAGAGAATTCCATTTTTTCTCACCAACTTTATTACGTGTGTGGCACTGGACATGTCACAAGGTTACAAAGGACTGGCCTTAAGCATAAGCAACCCACATTATCCAGGCCGGGTATTTGGGTTCGGTATCAACCCTTTGCCACTTCCCGTCTAACCAGCGGCTCTCTCCTCTGTGCAGGAGAGACTCCTGTGTGCCCTGACCTATTGCACAACCCTCATGAACTATAATGAGTTACTAGTTGCAAGATTTCTGGAAGTACAACAAAGCCATCCTGGCATCCAAACTGTGGAACAGGATAAAAGCCTTTAAAGAACATTTTCTTTAAACTTTTGACTGTAACCAGAAGAACATACTAGAAACTCCTTTAAAAATAAACTAAACCTGGATTTTACAAACAAACATGAAATCCCAGGTTGCAAAACTACCTGTGCTCTTAACAGAAACTCTCAAAATAAACTAAAACTCCACAATTTTTTTTCTGCAAAAATCTTACTTTCTGTAACCTTTGTGTAATCTGGTAAAATGACCAGAGCAGAGTCAACAGGATATGCCCCAACTGATCTCCCAATTGGCAGCCTGTCCCATGATTAAACACAGCAGCAGAGAACCGAAAGAAACTTTGAGTCATCAGGTCCCATCCCTTAGCAGTGCAGGCTCCCACGCACTAATCCCATCATAATCCAGTCGAGCTTCATCTTAAACCTCCTCAGGTTGTTTGCACCATGATTTGCTTAGTTAATGCACTTCAAAACCCCTGAAGAGAGTAGTTCAGTATTTCCTATGCAAAACCCCCACATTTCTTATTTACTAGTACATAGTGCACTGAAACATGTTAATAATCTCTGATTTAGGAAAAAAAAAGAGTTGATAAGAATACATACTTACACTAAAGTCAATCATTCAGGTCTTATAAATAACAGTAATAACGACACATTTCCTCCCACAGTTGTTCCACGTAAGTACCTCTGTTTACTAGGAGATAAGTAATTACTTCATAGAGATTTTTTTTTTTTTAAATGTTATTTCACTTTATTTCCAGAGTGGCACAAACCAGCTGGCGCTGCCACGTGGTGCTCTTGACACCAGTTACTGTCTCCTCCGGCCACGCGCAGCTGATCTGGAGGAATCCAGACGCACATAACGCACCGTCCGTTCCTGTTGCTCCAAAGCCATACAGGACTTCAGAGGCTGTCACTGAGCCCGTTTCAGCAGCACTTCGCAAAGATTTAAATTATAGGGTAAAGCCACCCATGAAATGTTTTCTTACCACAATGATTTTAATTTAAACAACTGCAGTACTGGCTCTAGAGCACGCAAGCAGCTCAGGACAGGAGGCACGCAGGAAACCCCACGGCATCATTTGCTCGGAGAAACTCCTCAAGGAGTTCTCTGCCACCTTCTCCGTGGGCACCCGGCTCCTGTTAATCCTACGGCAACCTGTCTGAAGATGAGAGACTACACTGGGTTTCCGTCAATATGATAAATGCTGCCACCGCAATCAGCTAAGGCAGAGAAGAGGAAAGTGTGGTTGGACAATGAATTAAGGCATACCACATATTTAAAAATATTCAACATGGAAAAAGTATCCAGCTCTTAAGGTGCTGGTTAAGTTAAAGCCTACTTGGAGCCCAGTCTCCAACCAGGTCATACTGAAGTACACAGCTTGGTCTCTGCTAGATTTCCATATTTATTAGCTAACTATTGTAATAGACATGGTAAATTCCACCCTAGAGGAGGCCAGAGACAGAAAAAGGCATCGGAATAAAGGAATAAAAGGGATTGGGCAGAACTCTGGTTTAGATCCAGAGGTCTGTAGGAGATGCAGGAGAAGAGTTCACGCACACAACATTTCCTGAGCACGGACAGGCAGAAAAACCCAAGCAGGAGATAGGCTTAGAGAGATTTTACACAAGATAACAGTGAAGCTAATTCTTCCTCTTCTGAGAACACACAGAACTCCTTTGTCACAGCCCAGTGAACTACCTGGATACAAACACATACACAGACCAAAACCTGCAAACACAAACCCTTAGCTGGATTCCTCAATAATTACCCTGATTTGCATTTCAACTGAAATTTTAACAGCATCTGCTTTTTAAGTTAAGCTCAACAGCTATACATTTATTTTTATTTTCAAAAACTTCTTTTGACTGATTCGAGGTGGACTGACTCAACATGGGGCCATTTGTAGAATTTGAAACCAAAGATGAATTTTGACACACAACTTCAGTGTCAAAACTAGACTTGAATACAGCGCCCTACAAGTGCTGGCATCTCCATGAGGGAGGAAGATGACCACACTATACATCTCATTTACATAAATATATACACTATTTATGAGAAAAGGAAGTAGTAGTTTAACTAAAAAGGTTTTATGGATAATTGTGTTGATTTCCAAAGAGCATGTAAAAAGCTACATCATTGTTTCCGTACACAGGACAGATTCTCTTAGACTCAGTGATGCCAGACCCTGGGTGCACACTGAGCATCTGGACTGAAGGTTTCACTGACATGCTAAACAACAAAGTGTTTACATCATTTAGTGTCATTTTCCAGTTTAATTACTATTTCAATTATGTCAATATTATTTCAACAACATTATTTTAACTATTATCCTACTGAGCAAATAACCATCTTCTAAACTTAATAACCCAGAAAGATATTATTTTCATAGTCCTATCTCTTCTGAAATAAATTGTTATGTTAATTTTGTTAATGCACAAAGGCAAATTTCTGAAAAAGTAATAAAAAGAGAAACTAATAGATAGCTTTCAGCAGAAGGTCTTAACTCCAACCTTAACCACTATTGCCAAAGGAGCAAGAGCAACACCTACCACAGATTTGGGTTTGCTGACTGCCACCAGATTGGCCAGAAAGTCTTCATCGTACAGCTGGCTAAAGACATGGGCATCGTAAGCCACCGTTATGGAGATTTCTTCCATCATTTTGCCGGCAAGCTGCCGTTAGCGGCTGGAGCAGGTTTGCAGACCAAGGCTGAACCTTGGCTCAGTTCCGTGGCAGTTGTTCACACCCACCTGAAGAAGCTAACGAGGAAGGAGTGTCACCAGAGAAAATATGACCCAGCAAATCAGCTCCTCTGTGGGTTTTCCTCTCCAGGGTGCTTTTTATTATCACTGGAAGCACATATGAAACACCTGCTCACGCTCCCAACAGCCAACTTGCAAAAGGTATTTGCTGAAGTTTGGTGAAAGCCAAGGAACCTGTTTTAATTCCGGCATTAGGCTGAAGATGAAAAAGCAGCAGCCAAACCAGATTAGTATTAAGCAAGAAAAGATCCGTCAGCGCTTGACAGCAGGACTGGAATCACTTCTGTTCTTCTTGAACTTTGTAGCAATTGTTTACTCTTTATATCCAGTTTTCTCCCACGAAAGCTGATATTCCTGTTCTCAGAGTCTCTCTTTCCACTGAGCTGCTCCTTCTGGCTTATTTGTAAATTCAGAGGGACAGGTGTAACGATGATTTCTTTCAGACATTCCTTGGAACTTTCCAGAAATTTCTAAATCTCTCCTTTAAAATCTTGAAAAACACTGACTTTTGCTTTTGCACAGATGTGAATTGCATTTTGTGCCAAGTAGATACTTTGATTTTAGCAGGAAGATGATGGCATCGAGTCACAGCCCTCCAAAGAGAGTCCTCCAGTTGCCAGGTGTAACAGAGGGTAAAACTGCCATGCAAAACACCATGAAGGCTGGAAGCTCTTCCTTGAATAAGCTCGCACCTCCACAAGTGAAATAAAACAATTTATGCAATTCAAACTTTCCACGGTAGGAGGTTTTTAACCTGAACCTGGGACTGGTTTGCTTTTAATCAAGAAGTGATATGGTATCTCTTGTCTATGAGTCCTAAATAGCACAGCTGTCTTCCAAATTGCTCCCAGCTCCCCAGTTCATTTTTACTGTAACTTCTGACACAGAGAAAAAACAGTGCAAGGAAAGAATTTGGAAAAAATAATTAAAAATCAATGTTCTCAAAACTACAAATGAAAATCTAAAAAATAATAAGTAATTTCAGGGAGGCTCAGGCAAGGTAAGGCTCCTAACCAAATCAACACTTCTGTTTAGACCCATCTACTACATTTTTATCTTCTCTGGAAGTATTTTGTTCTTCCTGATGAAAAATCAAGAAACATAGATCATTTCAGCCACGCATTTGTCTCCAAAAAAGAGTATGTGCTGGATGTAGCAAATCCGGTAGAAATTTCCAGTTCAGTTTGCTGGTAGCATATGGTTACGCTCTCGCTTTCCAGAATAAACAGGGTCAGACCCACCTTGTGTTTCTCTTTTTCCTGTGCTCCTGGAGTATCTTTATCAAAGATTACTCGGGTATCTAAATAGCACCAGGTGCTATTTGCATTTGAATAAGAAACTTGAGCAACAGCTCTAGCTACAGGATTAAAGACCCAACACCTCTCCACTTAAATAGTGGGGGAAATTACATGTTATTGCTAGGAAACAGAGAGAGTTCTAATAGGCTTATGGCAAACAAAAAAATGCAGCACTTGAGGTTAAATCCCTGAGACTAAAGCAGATTCTGATCATGCTTAACCCTTGCAGGAGGCAGAAAGGTATTTTTTCCTTGAAATGCACCTACAGTGCATTTTAAAAATTCTTCTTCAAAGGCTTGCAAATTTTTTTCCAATTAATTCCCGTGGTGGAAATACTTTCGATTCCAATCCTGAAGCAACATCCAGCTCACGAGATCACTTTCCATGTCACCTACACAAAGACCATACCTGCTATGCTAAATCCTGCTCAGGTTTTCCCAAGCGCTTTAAATGACCGCTTCCTCTTCGCTTTCACTGCCTTCTGAGCTGGGCTGGTTTTTTTTATCTTGTAGCAAAAGTTCAGATCATAAAGCAAAGAGCGGCTCTTCCTCAGCTGCCTCGGAGGTGTGCTGACAAAGGCACCTGTTGTAAGAGGTAAAGAAAGTCCCTTCCCACAGCCCCTCCCGCCCCGCTGGCACCCGCTCCGGAGGCTCCCAACAGGGAGCAGCGGTGTAGGCGCAGGGGAGGGAGCAGGCGGTGGAACAGCAAACATTCCCGTGTTAATGAGAGACCAATTTAATTCCGCAATAAGGGCAGGAGGGGGAGAATGCAAATTATCAGAGGTACGCCACAGCTGCAGCTACTCAGCTCCCTCCCCTGATTCAGCCAACAGGCATTTCTATTTATAAGGAATTATAGATCAGAACCTATATTCCCTTTTTTTTCCCCCATCTTGAACAGAAGGGTTGTGATGATTTAACAGAACGAAATCTTTATGTTACTATTGTATTATTGTCCGAATAATTCCTCTCATACCTGTTCTTATCAGAGGGCTTGTAATTTTGGCATGTTCTAACTAGCAATCACAAGAACTAACACCTGATTTTTGACATTGACCAATGCGTATCTTTACTTTAAAAACGATGTTTTCCAGCTCTTATTTCAAGGTGATGAAGCTGAGCTGCCCACAAATCCCTATGAACCTGCATTTTACATCCGTGTTAACAGTCTACGTGATGCTCTGAATCAGCACACAAAATTAGAAGTATCAAGCCAGTTAAAGGAAATCCTTTGAATTAAACTGACTGAAGCCACTATGTCCACCCAGACACAGCAGCAGCACGCTCACAGCAGAGGAACTGGAAAGGAAAAGGCAAGCAGAGAGATGCCCTTGACCAGCGCTTCCCAGCATTTCAATGCAGAGCCTTCCCCTCAGCCAGGGTTTCTGCATGCTGAAGCGATGAATAATCTATCCAAAGGCACCAAAACCCACGTAGAGCAGATTCACATCTCTTTAAAGCAAAGAGCACTTCTCTGTATAACACCGCATCTACCTCGCAGCTGCCGTCCCGAGGGAACAGGAATGCAGTCCCCTCCACGTCGCGGTTTCTGAAAGCATACCTCCAAAGCAGGAATTTTTGGAGAAGTGGTTCAACCAAGCAGTCAGGATGACAGAGGAGAGCCAGCAGAAGGACAGGTGAGCTGCAGAAAACTGTTAACTAGTTAAGGGAAGTAGCCCTAATTACAGTTGCTGGGATTTATACAGAGGTGAATGGAAAGTTCCTGAATCGAGCAAACCAGCTAGCTTAGCAAAGCAAAAATCCTGCTCGCTCCCAAGATAAATTCACTCTCACTCCACCCCCAGGAATGTCTTGCTGCTATCTGACGAGGATAGGATCTTCTGATAGACGGCAAAGTGTTATGTATGCGAGGTATGTGCAGCTTCTTGCTGAGCACTCCCTTCCTACCACCCCGTTTCTGCAACATAAAGGCGTTCTCTGCGATTTGCTTTTCAGGTACTAATGGATCTGGGAAGATCACAGCAGTCTGCAGATAAGGAAATACAAAAACTCCTTCTGTAGCACTTGGAATGGCATTTGGCAGCCCTGAAGATAAGCTTACAGGTTTTTTCCCCCCAAATGGGAGTGAATAACAGTAGCATCACGCTCTTTTCACCATCCCCTTACCCATTTCGTATTCATAACCCTGCTTCAGTTTTAGATGGCAGCAGGTAAATACCTTTAGTGGTTTTGGATTCCAAGCGAGGACTGAACACTGGTGCTCCCAGGAACCCCCCACATCATCCCAGAAAAGCAGTGCCAGGCCCAGGCTGATCTACAGCACAGCAATTGCTTCCCCAAGTTTTATTTTTATTATTTAAAATGTCAAATAACATGGCCTGTTTTTTTCTTTCCAAAGAAGTGGGTGTATGCACCTGTGTTCCTCCTAAAATAATCCTCCAAACGTGTGGAAAAACCTCGGCTTGATGTGCTTTAGCATATGTACGTACAGGGGCAGACCCTCCCAGCTTCCAGCTACGCCGCATTCTCCTGATTTGAAAGCAGGCATGGCTGTAAACTCATTTTTGTGGATTAAAGCCGGAGAGAGTGAATGTTTCTCTCGCAGCGCGGCAGAGGCCAGGGTGGCTGGAACTGCTGGGGCAGAGGCATTCCCCACTCCCCAGTGCTGGTGCCGGCACTCCCCCTCAATGGAAACACACAGCCCAGCATGGGGAACGCTCGGGACTTTGGAGTCTTCATGTTCTGTGGCCAGCTCTGCCTCTCGAATGATGTACTGTGAGCACGGATAACAGAGGAGGGCAGCACTATCGCCCCGGTGTCCTTCAGCCTTGGGGGAAAGCACTAACAGCAGAGCCCCTGCAAAAGCAGGGGGAACCTTTACCAATGTGTTCGGTGCTTCTTTATGGATTAACATGAACGTAGCAGAAAACACCCAAATTCCCCCCTCCCAGCACGAAATCAGCTGTGTGCCACACCAAACACTAGTCCTGCTCCCAGGCAACAACTGATGCATAAGGATTTTCTTCCACAAAGTTCCTAGATGATCCTTAAAGCTCATGAACAGAAGTCAAACTATTTATTAGCCTCGCCTCTAAAACTACAAAGGGTGGAAGAGCAGGACAGCTGATTGCTGCCCAGTCTGTTGGAGGTCCCTCCCTGTATTTTTAAAAGCATATTCTCAATTAATTCTGTTCTTTGTATTTGTTCTGTTTCTCAAAGAGAAGGTTATTAATGCTTGCAATTTTAAAGGGTTTGGGTCAAGTCTGCATTTCATTTCAGGTTTTACGTTAACTTGAAACTAAAACTAATCAAGGCTGTGAATCTGGTTAAAACAAATCCACCCATTCTGATGTCTAAAAACTATACAAACCTGAAAAAGATTAAACAGCAGTGCAGCTGGGATGCCAGCCCACAGGCACATACACATTATTATTCAGCTCAGTGCCTTTCAGATTATTTTGCAGCCTTTTAAATTAATTCATGGCTCTGTTTTGATTTTTAAATAATTAAATTCACATTTCAAATTTATGTTTTCATATTTGTTTTCTATATTGCCACTTTTACTTTCTAAGGCTACTGGAAGTTATTTCCTCTCTTCAACTAAGTTTCCTTCTTACATCAACCGTCTGGCAGAAATATC